AAGACCGTAGAGATTGGTTGGCTGTAGTAGAGGAGACCCGGGTTCTCGCAGGACCGTAGCGCTATAATAATAATAATAAAATAATAAGAACATTAAAGATATTTTACTCATGGAATTTTTTTGTTTATTTGTTTTATTTTTAGTCTCTCTTTTTCGCCGATGATCAGGTCATAGTCGCAAGCACAAAAGGTGTTTCTGGAAGTGATGATGTGCTTACTATGGGCATGTAATAAGTCTGTGGGGCTTAGCGTGAATTTCTCCAAAACAGAATACATGGCCATCTTACCTGAGGACGCAGGTAATCGTCGTGTCGAATCTCAGAGCAGTACAAAGGTGGATATGTTTAAGTCTCGGGATCCTCAAAAATTGATGTGCGGAGAAACGTAGAGCAAGCTCGGAAAGTCGAACCCATCCTTCATCTTGCCTTGTGGAACTACGGAATTCCAAAAGAAAACAAGCGAAGGATAAACCACGCCATCGTAGAACTGACCCTGACATACGCAGCTTAAACCTTGACCATGTCATCCCTTCTCTATTCAAAGGTATAAGCTGTGGAAATGGACTCTTGGAGGAGATGCCTACTAGATGAATTCTAGATTGGCAACCGCAGGAAATACAGAGGCAAGGACGACCCAGAAAAAGATGGATGCACGAAGTGGAGGAGGAAATGGTTGGTCGGGGTTTTCAAGATGGAGTTTGGCTTGAGACCATGACCTGAAAAGCAACCCTCGTTGGAACGCCTATATGACAATAATATTTATTTTTATAAAATGAAATGAAAAATTTAAAATGAATATATTATACTTTTATAAATAATTTATATACATATGAATTACTATTTATTTATATCATAATACAGAATTGTTATAATTACGAATAATAGACATAGCACCTGTATTATGCCTGATATATGGCGGTGAGATCTTTCAGCATCACATAGCAGTCTTGCGGGTAGTGTAGATCTAAGCGCCTTACTTTTCAGTTAAGCGACCCTTACATCATTCGTGAATGAAAGTCACAAGACTGACTTTGATCATGAAGACCTCTACACGTTCAATCATTACTTATCATTCTGAAACCATTTTAGCTCAGTTGTGAACAAAGAAACAGCATAGATAAGCTTATTTGGACATAGTACTTTATAGTATTGGACATCAAGAGAAAAATGGAGATATAATAATTACTTCCTAATGCCAGACCAAATTTAGAAAAATATAAGTCAACTACTCACAAAAATTTAGAAAAAGTATTGCGAAAGTAATCAATTTGTTAAGAAAAATGGAAAAATTTATGACAAATAAACAAAACAGTTAAAGATTTTTTTTTCTATAAATAAATTGTGAAGGTTCCACTTTTTTTTTTTAATTTGTTGCCCACTTGACTATTTAAAGAAAAGAAATGAACTTGAAAATTGTTTATAAAAATATAAACTAGGGATATAAAAAACTATTTACTTTTATGAAATTATTTATTTAAAAATCAGTAATGTACAATGTTTGTGAGGCCTAGGTAAATTAACCTATCTAGTAGTAAGATTAGTCTCATAAAAAATCGGTTTGACAAAGGTTAGTAAAATATAAGTCTGCTACTTACAAAAATTAAGAAAATGTATTGCAAAAATAATAAATTTGTTGAGAAAAATGGGAAAAGAACTGACGAATATGCACAACAGTTAAAGATTAATTTTTTTTCTTTAAGTAAATTGTGAAGTTTCCACCTTTTTTTAAAAATTAGTTGCCCACTTGACTATTTAAAAAAAATAGTTGAAGATTTTTTTATTTTTTTTTTTATTTGGGTTTTATACAACTCAAGGAGTCATATCCCCAACACCCAAAAGCCACTGCTCCCTGTCCATCCAATCTCCCTCACAAAGCCCTCTGGCTGCCATGCTTTCCTCCACGTCCTCTATCCATTTCTTCTTTGGCCTTCCACGCTTCCTTCTTTCAGGTGGCACATAGTCATAAATTTTCTTTGGCCAGCGGTTCTCATCCATCCGCATTAAGTGGCCATACCACTTTAACCGTTTGGTCCCGATCAGGTGAAGGATGTTCTTTTGACATCCGACCTTGTCTCTAATTGCTGCGTTTGGGATCCGCTCGATTCTGGATATGCCACAGCTTCTTCTCCAGAAATCCATTTCCATGGAAAGCATAGTTGAAGATGGTTTATAAAATATAAACAAGGGATATGAAAAACTATTTAACTATTTACTTTTAATGAAAATCAGGAATTTATAATGGTTGTATGTCCTAGGTAAACTAACCTATCTAGTAGAATGGTTAGTATCCCCACTACTTTTACCTCAGTTCCCTCTCCACTTCTTGTGAATGAGACATTGATTTCTGAATGTTGGGAAATCTGCAAGACACCTCCATCAGTATTTCATTCACTACCTTACACGATCATGCGGATCGCCATCATTGCCTCGGAATGCAATTCCGAATGACCGTGTAGGGTCGCCTTTAGGGTCCATCTTGGTTATTTTATCACAAATAGAAATTAAATAAGGTAAAACTCACAGATACTGGATCCATGCAGGGATTTGAGCAAAACACATGTATTCAAATAGGGTGATAATCAGAAAAAAATTATTTCTGAGAAATATGTTTTTGAGGTCGTAAAATTCTTAAAAAATAAAAGTAAATAATTAATTTAATTCACTAATTCAACTTAATCACTAATATAACAATTTTTTTTTATTTTTTGTCTCCATATGCACCTATCATGATAGTGACAATTAGCAGATTTGTTGTTGTGGTACAAAATGGCATGAATATTACCCAGCAGTACCTCTTCTCTGGTCTGTTTACAATCTTAAATCAGGAAAGATCTCTCATACAGCTCCTTTTCAGTCGCCTCCTGATAAGCATGTCAGCCATAGGCAAGTTATTTATAAGTAAATTTTTAGTTTAATGTGAGACTTGGAGTTAAAAAGTACATATGTGTTGGTCGATAATTAGTTACCGTAAGTTGGTATGTGTTGTTGTTGAGATACCAGGGGACTGCAGTTATTAGTTTTAAAATTTTAGATTCAAAAGATTGTAGTTTTTGTGAGTCTTTTTTGCTGAACTGTAGATCTGTGAGGCATGTGTTCAAATGGGTTTGAGTAGATAATTATGTATTTAGCGTTTGCCTGAATGTTGTGAGTCTTTCGTTTCCTTCTGTCGAATATTAGCCTGAGGTAACATACAATGTCTGGCTGAGAAATTTTGTTGACACCGATATCAACTGGTGGACATGTGCATCGACGTGTAAATGTTATTTGTTGGGATTTGTCATGATTTAATCTAATTTTCCAAAGTGAATACCAATTTTGTAAATTTAGTGTTTTGTTAAAATTGTTGTATCGTCAGGGTAAGTAGCAGTCAACGTTTCAGAGGTGGTTGCCATATCATTTGTCTAGATAATAAAAAGAAGCCAATATTGATCCTTGAGGCATCCCTGCTGACACTAGTCGAATTGAGGAAATTTCTAAGCCCTGTAGAACAGAGAAAAATCTATCGAAAGACTGAATAATGAGACAGTATAGTTTTGAGTTTAAAGATAAGTCCGTAATGCCAGACCTTACAAATACCTAGGCAACATCCATAACACACGCCAGTTGCATATTGTTTTTGCTTTAGCAATATAGTCAGTAACTCAGTGAAGTTATGTTGTTGAATGTGGCGTACGAAAACCGAATTGATGGTATGGAATAATTTTTTGTCAGCAAGTTGTCAACCAATCTTCTATACATTAATTTTTTGAAAACTTTGGAAAATGTGGACTGATAGGTTGGTAGGATATGATATTAAAAATATTTTTTCCCTTTTTTGTATCATTTTGATATGTGAATATTTCCATTGTAATGGGAAGTTAGTTGTCCTCAGAATACAGTTGTATATTGTAGTAAGGAACACTAGAGCTTTCCTAGGCATTTGTTGGAGCCACATAGCAGTTAATAACTCATAACCTGGGGCATTTCTTAAAGAGAGATGTCTGATTTGTTGTGCAACTCGTGAATGAAAGAAGGAGAGGTGTCATCTGTAATGGTATGTCTAGAGTATCAAGCACTAAAGTTTCATGTTCTGTGTTCATGAAGTCGGTAACTTGTGTAAGTACTCTTGAAAAATTGTCTACAAATAGTTCAGATTTTAAAATAGTCATTGCTAATATCATAGCTTTTTAAAAATATTTTCTAGTAGAAAACTAAATTATAAAGTTGGTAATTTTGCATGCAAAGTATCTAATAATTATTGTAGTTAGATGCTCAAACATCCATCCATTATTTTATTCTTTAATATTGTCATTTTCTGCCAATTATGAAGCACTATACAGGGACCAATGAAATGCAGAGCAAATATCACATTACCTTGAATATTGATATTTCTTGCAAAGAAATTTTATATACATTTGTATTGTATTACTAAATATTTATTTATTTTAAGAATATCAGAAATACTTTTTTATAATTTAGATAAAATTATTCTTTTTATAATTATTAAAAACATTACTATAAATCTAAGAAAAACACAAAGTGGTGTCAACTGCTTTAGTATCATAAGATATTCAGTTTTATTTTGGCATGTGCGGCCCATGTCATCCTTTTGTCAAATGCAAGTCCAAATTTAGAATAATGTATCCATCTGAGGAAATAAGTTGTTAATATGAACTGATTTTTTAATATAAATAGTTAATATAAAAAAAAAGATATTTCTTCAAAGAGTAAAAGTTGCTTTAATTTTTCATAATTTAGCTTAATTCTCTGTAGTTTGTACCAGTTGTCTAATTTATGTGATGGAATGTTAGTGAGGATCGTAAATGATCTTAATGTTTTGTGAGAATTGTGTCATCACCATAATTAACAATCAATATCTCATTGTTGACAATTAATTCATGAGTAAATACAATAAATATAACAAAGGAGTCAGCAAACTGAAGTCGTAAGTTCAGTTCGCTTTCGACATTGCCATTTTAGGTAAATAGAATTTAATTAAAATTAAAATCAATGCAATCAATAGTTATTAAAAAAAATGATTTATTTACAATTCAATGAGATCGACAGGATATATTATAATAATATAAACAGTCAAGTGCATTTCTGTAATTATTAATATTTTAACAGTTGACTAAGGACTAAGGAAGTTTTAAATCAGTCATTTCTTTTTAAAATTATAAATATAAGTAAGAAACATTTGAAATTTTTTACTTCCAACTATTAATGACATTTTTCGTAACCTGAACATTTATGAACACCACAATTAAAAAAATAATTTACTGTTTTTTCTCAATTTCATAACAAACATAAAAAAAACAAGTTAAATTTTTTCTGTAATACAGAAAAAATACTCATAATAGCTCATATTTTCATTAATTAATAAAATATTATAAAAATGAACATTTATAATATCACATAAAAACAAAAATATAAAACATAATAATTATTAATGAGTTTGAAGTCTTTTGAACCAAAATCTGGCCCTAAAATCGTCAGAACACGTCAGAAAAGCTGCAGAATGAGGACTATGTACGATTTGCCTGACAGGACCATTATGACCTGAAATATGAACGTCAATTAATAATCGACACTGATAAACAATAATCAATTTTTAAAAAATAAATTAAATATTGTACCCAATGAGAGAAGCTGCCTCCTTGAAGCGTTTCTTGCATTCCAGGCACAAAGAGAGGTAGTGGCTTCGTCAGGAAATAGAACAAAATCTTCTGTATGATTGAATACAGCTTGTGTTCTATGCTCTTGTTTACCTGAATAATAAAAATCAATCACAAAACATATAATCTCTTTTCTTTTAAGTATGAATTAAAAATGTCCATTGTGAAGGTTAAAACTTTCTAGTAAGAATCCAGTGTGTCTAACAAAAACTTTTTATGGGATTCTCTGACTTTTCCATGTCATTTTGGAGAAAAATCCTTATCTTCAAATTAGTTGTAAAGGCCCTTTTACACTATCAAGTTTCTTGCATGAACTCACTTTGGTCAAGAAGCTTAACCATTTTAAATGGTTTCATTAGGTCATGGGAATAAATTGATCCATGTTGCAAATTTTTAGCAAACTATACCAGTGCTCCTCTTGTTCAAGAAACTTACTATTCTCGAAAGTCAATCAACATTCATGCAGTAAAAGTCTTTCATTCTTCAGTCAGCATAACACTTTCAATTCATTTATCAAGAAATCATCTCAAATCTATTTATTTTCTATTTTAACAATTATTAAATCATTATCAAATCTAATCATATATTTAATTTAATTTATAAAACATATAAATTAACTTTTAAGTCCTTAAAACAAAGAATTATTAAAGTAAATTCAATATAAAATAAATTTGTATTCATAAACTAAATTTTTTATATTATATTATATATATATATAAAACCTGTGTCACTACAACCTATAGGTTCAATACTATTTAGGGAAAGTACTGTTTCAAGGCCAACAGTTGTGCAAGGAGGAGATCGGGGCAGGATCAACCATCAGGATTTCCCCATTAATTAGCCCCAGTACCCACTCTAGAGGCTGTGTATGCCCCAGGAGGGTCTCCCTACCCCAGGGTCGCCCACAGCCAATAATACAGATAGTCTGTGGGCCAGACCTCCCTACTGTGCACCTCCTCAACTCCCCCCACATCCCTATAAATTGCATATTGTTGTGTTCCTTGTAACTAATTATTAAAAAAAAAAGCCAATGTTCCCACAAAAAAAAGGGAACCAACTGCCCCAAAATGGCGTCCAAACATGACGGACTGACGACTTTGACTTTAGCTAGTTTTTTGGTCACTGAGAATCAATATTTAGCTTAATTTCATCATAGTTGGTCTTTTATTAAAGCTGGATAGTCAGACAATAAGAAAACACGAAAAATTATGCAAAAATAATTGGCTTAGGCAATAAAAAACACCAGTAAAGTGAATTGTTTCAACAAAAACATTTTCAAGGAAAATCAAGCGGCCAGCAATAATGCAAAACATTCTGAAATAAAACATCTGGGGAATATATTTCTCTTTCTAAAATACTGATTACTTTTTAAAATATTTGAAGCAGTTCCATAGAAAATGTACTTAAGCGGCAGAAAAGTGGAACTGGGGTAAGTGCCTACAGGCCTATACCATACCGTCCAGTACTCATAAATGGCTTAGTTATAGTGCTAGAATAAAGTTTTTGATACATTATATTGATTTTATTAATGAACAAATATTAATGCAATAAATAAACTGTCCAAAAAAATTATTTCAACAATTTTTTTTTTTTATTATTTATTCATTTAAATTTTTTTTTTTAATTCTTTATGGAGATCATTTAAGAAGCCCTTTATTGTAAAAATCATATAATTATAATAATAAATCAATCCAAAAATACTTTGCTGAATATCTTGAATTTTTTATTTAGCATTTACAATTTAACACTTTGTTTTATATATTTACTGATTCCATTTTATATATTAACTGTATCCAGTTATTATAATTGAGATGATTACATCACGGAGAATCAAATGGGCTTGTAAAATAGTCGGGCTTAGTAACGAAAGAATTCCTAAAAGGTTGATATTTACTGTACCGAATGGAAAAGTCTGAGAGGTAGACCGAAGCGAAGGTGGGAAGATTGCGTTAAAGCCGATCTGAAGGAACTGGTGGGTAATAAGCGATTGATGGAGTCGGCATCGAACCTCCGGGTTCGCTAAGCCTTTTATTATTATTATGATTAATGAAAAAAAAAAAAAACATAACTTACCAGTGGTCCCAGCACCCGTATAGGCAATTAAACATCGACTAGTAGTCAATTCCCAAAGTTTAACAAGGGAATCTTTCCCGGAAGACAAAAGATACTGAAACATTAGAACAAATAGATGTTATAACATTTAAAAAAATAATATCAAATAATATAATAACAAAAAACAAATGACAAAATAATATTTTATATTACAACTTATATGAGACCACATTTTAAAACTGGGTTCCCTTATTTCTTAATTCACACATTATTACATTAATATCACACTTGGTCGTAGTGAGAATAAGAATATCTATCACAGATACTCAATTATCAAAATTGCAAGGCATAGCTAAGCATGACAAAATGGAGTCTTGAATAGAAAAATTAAGGCAAGCTCATTAAAATAAATCAATGTTCCAAAAGATTTCGAAATTACAGCAAAGATGACTTACCTTTCCATTTCTAGTGAATGCAACAGAACAAACTTCAGCGCCATCGTGAGCTCTGTAGAAAGTATTAACACACCTATTGCTAACACCATCCCATATCTTAATGCTGCCGTCTTTACTGGATGATGCATAATATTTACCAGTTTGTGTGTACCTAATAACAAAATAAAAATAAAAACAAAGAATTAAAAATTAAACATATGATCAAATAGATAACGGATTACAATTAAACTGGGCATACCTCACAGAAGTAATTGTATCACTATGCTGATGACAAGGAACACTGCAGACGTAACACTGAGCAGTATTGAAATCATAAAGTCGTATGACAGAGTGTAGTGTACCAATTAACAAATAATCTCCAGTAGGATGGAAGGACATACATTTGATGCCATGAGAGTCCTGAAAACATTTATGAATAAATAATTAATTAATATGTCATACTAACTACCAAGATTGATAAAAAAATTTATTTTCATGAAATTTATGATAGCAAAGTGACTTTTCTGTCCAACATGGTGGACAACACTACCAATATAGAAACTTTATAAAATTCTAGATTAATATAAAAAACGCTGCAAATTATTCCACAATGGTTTATTATTTCCAGACAATTATACATCTAAAGTAACATTACCTTCATAGTTACAAAGAAAAAATAAATAAATAGGTGATTCCAATTATTGGACTAAACTTTTTTTTTTAATTGGTAAATTTTATATCATTGGTAATATGCTAAAAAAAATAGCATTTAAAAATTTAAAAACCAAACAAAGAATATAACATTTGGAGTAGAACATATTTTTAAAAAACTGGAGACCATATCTTTGCCCCTAATTGTCCGATTTTAAGGAATTTTTTTTTTTGGGGAAATTTCGTAAATTAAAATATTAAAAAATCGCGATATCTCTACTAATAGTGCTTTGATTTCGATGAAATTTCCTTCATTTTGTAGGAAATTTAAATACCTTTGAAACATCTAATAACATTATTTACAAAAAAGTGTAAACTTTTTGAGTTATTCAGAATTTAATTTTACCATCCCTCGTAACTTTTTTCTAGCTTCTTGCTATTGAAGTATGTTATATAGATAAATTTAAATGAAATGAAATGAAATGAAAAAAATGTTTTATTATTCTGGGACTGTTGTCCCTTAAGAACAAAATATGAATACAGATTATATGTCTGGGTGGGTACAATTAAATTGTATATTTACAATGAAAGTTGACTTACGATAAAAATACAGAAAAGAGAAAGAAAAGAACAAGTAAATTGTACATATGTATGAGAAACTAAAATAACCTTAATAAGTTGAGGTAGTCTCTGGTGGTGCTCAGATATTTCTCTTAGATATATTTCACAATCATTCGGATTGAGAAAGGAGTAGGTGCTTAAAGAGGAGAGGTTTAAACGAGGAAACTGATTGAGCGTGTCGAATATCAGCTGGGATGGAATTCCAGAGGGAGGCGGCTTGTATTACAAAGGATTTGTCAAACGCAGCAGTTCGGTGAGGAGGAGGATAGAGGTCGGAAGTACGAGATCTGGTGGGACGGGATTGGATGGAATATTTGAATTGTAAGCTGTGAAAAATATAGGAGGGTCGATGAGTTCTAATAATTGGGTACAGAAAGGTGGCTAGGAAGTACTGACGGCGATAGGATGGGTAGAGCCACCTCAACTCAGTGTAATACTGGGTAATATGTGTATCCCTTGAGATTCCGAAAACAAATCGTAGTGCGCAATTCATTAGGCGTTTAAGTTTGGCCTCGGAATCTCCCGGGAGTCCACCGTACACCATACAGCCATAGTCGAAGTGGGGGAAAATAAGGGAGGAAACTAGGAGTTGACGGGACTTATATGGAAGGAGATATCGTAGACGATTGAACTGTTTTAGGGTGGAGATAGTGCGACGGGAAATTTGGGAGATGTGAGGTTTCCAGGATAGGGATTGATCGAAAGTAACACCTAGGTTTTTAACGGTGGTGTAGAATAAGATAGGTGAGTTGTTCAGGAAGAGATTGGGAGATACCGTGGAGGATTTGAGGAGTGAAGGGGATCCGATCAAGATGGCTTTTGTCTTCTCGGCGTTCAGAGTGAGCCTATTGAGGTTTGCCCAAGCACTTATTCTGTCAATATCTTCCTGAAGTTTTTGAGTGGCATCTGAGATATCTGTCGGATTAAAGGAGAGGTAAATTTGAATGTCGTCGGCATACAAGTGGTAATGACAGTGCAGGATAGAGGATGGGAGGTCATTTATATAGATGGAGAAAAGGGTGGGGGATAAGGAAGAGCCTTGTGGGACGCCTCTGGTCAGAGGTAGAGATTCTGATGGTGGGTTATTAGGAATTACAACGTACTGGGAGCGACCGGTTAGGAAGGATTGGAACCAATTAAGAGAACTAGAAGAAAAAGAGATATTTTTAAGTTTTGTTAGGAGGATGTTGTGGTCTACTGAATCAAAAGCTTTGGAGAAGTCTAGGAGAATAAGGATGGTTAGTTTCTGCTGATCTATGGCTATGTGAAGGTCTTGGGAAATTTTGATTAGGGCAGACTGAGTAGAATAACCAGGCCTGAAACCGGACTGGTAGGGATTTAG